AATTAGGTGGAGAACGTTTGATGCGTCTTGCACAAGGTGATGAATTATGTGGTCAAGAACAAGCTTTTCGAAAATGGGCGGCTGATACGTTCATGGTATATACTTTGAAAGATTATTTAAATTTTGTTTTTTTTGTTCTTTTAAAGGTATAAAACATACTTATAATGTAGGTCACATGTGAAACATTTTGCTTGGATGATAATGATACATTGTTAGAAGTTGCTCTATCATTAGGATCTGAAGCATTGACACCTACAACAGTACGATTTATAGAAGCTGAACCACAACCAATTGCAAGAGGTACTTTTTTACAAATAATGTATCGATTATTATTATTATAAATTATTATTAATACATTTTCAAATAATTTTTAGCATTAAGCAAATGTCACAATAGAGATGTAACTGTTTGTACTATGTTACGAAAGACTAACTTGAATGGAGAGGAATCAAAGTAATTTAAAATTCAAAATTAATTGATGTCACGTGTAATTATCATGTTTAAAATGAACTTTTTTATGTTTAATTTGCAGTAGAGCTACATTACTTTTAGAACTTAAGTATACAACGAATGAAGAAATGTCCTATAAACCTGGTGATCATTTGGGAGTATTTGCTTGTAATAGAGCAGAAATTGTTGAAGGAATCTTACAACGATTAGAAACATCATTTGATCCAGATACATCCATTGAATTACAGATGCAAAAACAGTCTCATACACCTCATGGTTTAGTTTAATTATTATTTTATGCAAGAAATTAAATGAATTATAATGCAATAGGATTTATTTATGTCATTTTACTTGATGCAGGAATTGTGAAAACTTGGGTACCGCATGATAAGTATTTATCTAATTCCTTGAGAGTACTATTAACACGATTTCTGGATGTTACTACACCTCCAACACCAAATCTTCTAAGATATTTCGCATCCATAGCTAAAAATGCACAAGAGCAATCGCGGCTTAATCTTTTAGCTACTGTATGTATCCAATTTTCTAACAAAATGTACAATTTATTATTTTTAAGAAATTTTCATTCATAAAAATGCATCATCATTCTACTAGGATTCTGCAACTTATGAAGATTGGAGACATTGGAAATTCCCTAATTTATTAGAAGTATTGGAAGAATTTCCATCTGTGAAACCTTTTGCTCCCTTACTTATTTTACATCTTACACCATTGCAACCAAGATTTTATAGTATTTCTTCATCTCCGCTTGTACATAAAGGGGAAATGCATCTTACAGTAGCAGTCGTACAATACAAAACAGAAGGTTGATTTTACAAATTGAAAACAAATCATATCTTTTTATTAATACAGAAAATTAATGAATACTCTTTTCAGATGGATCTGGTCCAATTCATTATGGTGTTTGTTCTAATTATTTACGTGATGTATTATATGGAGAACCCCTTTATGTATTTGTACGAAGGTAAATCGAACAATATACACAATTAATCTTAAAATATACTTGATAAATAATTTTTTATTATATTTAGCGCGCCTAACTTTTATATGCCAAATAATACCAAGGCACCCATGATACTTGTTGGACCTGGAACTGGGATTGCACCATTTCGTGGATTTTGGCATCATCGCTGTGCACAAATGAAGAAACAACGAAGTACAATTTGGCAATATTTTGTTCATTGTAAAATATCTAACGTGATGTCATAATGGTAATACTTAAATGGCAATTTACAGATGAAGAATTTGGAAAGATGTGGTTATTTTTTGGCTGTCGTCAGAAATGTTTAGATCTTTATGCACAAGAAAAGAAAAAGATGGTAGATGCTGGTGTTTTGGATAAAGTTTTTTTAGCATTGTCTCGTGAATCTGGTTTACAAAAAGTAAATTTGTCTAAATTTTAAATTTATATCTATAAGAAATTGAAATGTTGAATTTAATGATTATTTTCTATTCTCGCAGACATATGTACAAGATTTAATTCAAGCTGAATCAGCTTATATTTATGACATGTTGATGCATCAGCAAGGACATTTTTATGTATGTGGAGATTGTACGATGGCTGAAGATGTTTACCAGACATTAAAACAAATTATTCAAACTCATGGTCAAATGACGGATGAAGAAGTTCAAGCATATATGCTGTCATTAAGAGTAAAAATCATGTTTAAATAACAAATAGAAATTAGTTTAAATGGTTATATAAATTTTATATGAATATCATATGTATTAATTAAATCTTAATTACAGGATGAAAACCGTTATCATGAAGATATATTTGGCATAACTTTACGGACTGCGGAAGTTCATAATCGATCTCGCAAGGCAGCCAGAATTAGAATGGCTGCACAGCCATAAAACCGATAATGAGAATAACAATTGTGATTTACTCGCTCTTTAAATAGATTTCAATGGTTAACATATCAGATTTTATGCATATCTTATAGAAAATTGAATTTTAATTTCTAATGCTATAAATTAATATAATATTATAAATTTATAAAATCTGTCAGTAATATATTATACGAAGGATGAAAATAAATAAATAAATGAATAAAATAAGATTGTAATAAAATCATTCTAAGTACTATGGATGTCTCAACTGATATTTTAAACATAAATTAAATATACATTTGATTTATAAGCACATAACAAATATAAGTGTTATACGAATTAATATCTTCAAAATAAACTGGCTTAATCTTTACTTTATTACCCTATTAAAAAGGGCTTACTATTAATTTTAACAGCATCATTTTATGAAATTAAACTATTAAATAATTACATACACAGTAAAATGAGCTGTCAAACATTTTTCTTATCCTTCTAATTATGCAAAGCTGTAGTGTCTAGTCCTGGCTTAGGCTTCTCTGCAACATTTGCTAATAATTTTTTAATTTCTGCTATTGCTTTTCCAGGATTAAGTCCCTGAAAAAAGAAATTATTTTAAATAAACTTATTTCATATATATAAAATTTATCTAAAAAATAGTAATAATAATTTTATATGATACTCAACCTTTGGACAAGTACGGGTGCAATTCATAATTGTGTGGCAACGATAAACAGAATATGGATCCATTAATTTTTCAAGACGTTCTTTTGTCTGAGTATCTCTTGAATCAATAATCCATCTATATGCCTGAAAAAAATAAGATATTGTCTGTGTATTTATGCTTATATAATAAAATTATCAATCTTTTATGTAATTGTGCAATGATGCAATAAAATTATATAATACTTTAAAATACTAAAGTTTTATAAATGCTTACTTGCATAAGAACAGCAGGCCCTAAATATTTATCACCATTCCACCAATATGATGGACAGGAAGTACTGCAGCAAGCACAGAGAATGCACTCATAGAGACCATCCTATACAATATGATACAAATAAATAATAATATTAAAATAATATATTTTGTACAACTCTCTTATAAATAGTATATCATTATAAATCACATTTAACAATACTAACCAACTTTTTACGGTCTTCAACGCTTTGTAAATACTGCTGACTACCTGTCTCTTTAACATCATTACGTTGAAGCCACGGTTGTATACTTTGATACTGATTATAAAAATTATTAAGATCTGGCACAAGATCTTTAACAATATACATGTGAGGTAATGGATAAATCTTACTAGGAGAACTCAGGTTGTCATCAATTTTACTGTAAATTATATTTTTATTTATAAGTAATCTTATTTTCCAAATATAATGTTGTTAAATAAATAATGAATACCTGATACATGCAAGCGTGTTAGTTCCACCAATATTCATAGCACACGATCCACAAATGCCTTCACGACAAGAACGGCGAAAAGTTAAAGATGGGTCCATTTCATTTTTAATTTTGATTAAAGCGTCAAGTACCATAGGACCACAACTAAAATAAATAGCGATAAATAATAATAACACAACAAAATAACTATTTATTCTATCATATTAATACTTTTATAAGTAACAACATATATACCTATTTAAATCTACTTTATAATCTTGCATAAAGGGTTTTTCATCAGGCTTATCTGGATTCCACCGATAGACAGAAAAAGTTTTTAATCTGGCTTCAGCATGTTGACTTGCTGATACATGCAGAGCTCGTACCTATAGTTTGAATTATTCGTATGGACTTGTAATTATATAATTTTTAACATATTTATATTTTAACGTATGAACTTTGAACAAATATTATAAGTAACATATTTGATGGTATTAATTTAATATTATAAATCAAATACTTCACGCAACAAATTATTTGACGTTTCTAAATAAGTTATCGTTATCACGATAGTATTCGTGAAAACGTATTTCGTCTATGGGTATATATTTTTTTTTATACAGATAATTATGTTTAATAAATGAAAAACGCATAATAATCATAACTGCACAAAAACACTTACTTGTCGGAATGCATTTTTGCAACTTTGTGGAATAATACCTGCCATTTTTTCACAAAAAGAATTTATCCAAGTCGTTTATTCATTATGTAACTGTCGCACGTGCGGAAGTACCAACATAACTACAAAATAACATAAAATTTTCATTTATAATGACATATGTATACACAAATACAACACATTCTCTCAATAGAGACCATGTAAATTCATGATATAAAAATATGTAAATAAAATATATTTTTATATTTTTAGAGAGAAATGTAAGCATTAAAAATATAAATTCGCTTCACTTATTCTAATTAAAAAAAAAAGCGTGAATAAAATTATTTCTTTTAGTATTTGTTTCTTTTTTTCAAACAAATAATTATTATTATATTATTAATTAAAATATTATTTGTATTAAATAACAAAAATTTAATTTAAATTTTATAAAAATTTAAATTAATATCATCCTTCTCCATCTTCTCTTAGTTTTTCTTATATAAGGAGTGATATATTTATAATACACGTGAGATACATGCTTCGATAGTATGTTACGCTTTTGTTCATATACATAGCTCATAAAGTTATTTTTTGTTAGAATAGTATTATATCTTTGAAATATAAAGATGAAAATGTTTAAAAAATTATAACGAATAACTTATGTATTGTTAAAAGAAAGAGAGAGAGAGAGAGAGAGTGTAAAAGAGAGAAAGAGAAAAAAGACGATGTTAGAATTTAGTATAAAATCAAAGTTTATGGTGAAATGTTATGAACAACACGTTTTTTTATCTTACAGTGGATTAGAAAACTAAAGAAAACAATTATCTTTTTTAATATGTTTAGGTAACAATATTACGTAATTATTACTTATTGATAATCGCTAATGTTTATTTTAAGTATAGGTTAAGTATATATAACTGTAGTTTATATGAAATATGTATTATTTTTATTATAATTCATTGTAAGAGATTTATTGACCAAAAAATTTATTTTTTTTAACAAAAAACTAATATTATTTACACATGTTCTTTATATATTTATTTATTTTTTCTAATTTTTTTCTAATCTATGATAAAAAAGATTGTTCAAAGGAAGAAGAAAATCCCTGAATATTGTTGAAATATATCTAAGATAAATATTACATCTTTAAACGATTTGTGCTAGAATTAAAAAATAATTAACATTTGTAATAACTTGTAATAAAAAACATCTGTAATAACCTGAAATAAAAAACATGAAATCTATCATATAATATAATTAAATTTGTGATGGTTATTTCAGGAATACTTTCGCACTAGAACAACGTATTTTACAATGTAAACATAATTACATTAAAGTCAACTTTAAAAATATGGCACAGCAGTCTGGCAAATTGAAAGAATATGAAGGCCGAAAACTTGTCGGGTAAGTACATATGTTATCCTTTTATTATTTTTATTATTCTGTATGTACAATTATATAGTATATATATATATTTGATATCAAGCATTTTCCATTTGTTGCATATACTTATTTTATCTCATTTAATTTAACAGTTAATTTAACATTAAATTTTTCATCATAAATATAAATTATTTTTAATCTCTTTTATAATAACTAATTTGATTTTTTTAAACTTAAACATGTCGTAAAGAAAATAAAAATAGAGGAGATTCTTCTTTTATATATGAGAATTAAGGTAATTAATTTAGTTTGATTTCTAAATCAGAAAATATGTTTACTTTTCCTTCTATATGTTTAAACATAAAGAAATCTAGATAATTGCTTGAAATGTTTTTTTATATGAGAATAAATTGATATTTAGCATTTGAATAAAACCTAAATATTAAAAAATGATTAGAAAAATACATTCTCTTTTTAGGTTTTCAATGGAACAAATTTACACTGTGGTAGCAGATGTAGGGAATTATAAAAAATTTGTACCTTTTTGTAAAAAGTCAGATATTATTTATAGAAAAGAAAATTTTCTTAAAGCTAATTTAATTATAGGATTTCATCCACTTACTGAGAGTTATACTTCTGAAGTATCAATGGTACCTTCTCGTCTTGTTAAAGCAGATTGTACTGACGGCATATTATTTGATCATTTGAAAACATTATGGATTTTTAGTCCAGGCTTAAAAAATAATGCAAATACATGTGTAATAGATTTTTCTTTATCGTTTGAATTTAAATCAATCATTCATTCTCATTTGTCTAATTTATTTTTTAATGAAATTGTAAGACAAATGGAAAATGCTTTTCTTCAAGAGGCTAGAAAGAGATATGGTAAACCATGCTTGAAAACAGTACGATTAGAAAGATAACAAAAATAAGACGTTCAATATAATATTATTGGCAATCATAATAATTTACCAAAGAGTTTATTTATTTCGTTATATATGTTTATATATAAAGAACTATTCAAATAGTTTATTTCTTTAATCATTTTTAAATACAAAATATCCATAAAATAAATGATATAACAAAAAAATAAAATAAATATGTATTTATAAATATAAAATAAAAAAAATAGTATATGGAATAATTATCTCATTATCATTAAAGTCACAAATTTTGAAACACGTTATTGATTGTAAAGAGTTTATTTAGAAATTTATCATGATGCGTTTTTAAGACATACGATATTCCAAAATAGTAACCAAATGGGAAGCATTACAGTCATGGTTACATTATAAAACCAATTTCCATAAATCATAGAATCAATAATACTGAATACAAATGCTTGTTTAGTGGCACGATATCCACTAAATATAAGAGATAACAAGGATTGTTCTGAAAAGTTTACATAAGTATACCCTAAAATAACAATAGATGACGCAACAAATGGATGAAGTAAAATCCATAATATATACAACAAAATTCTGAATCTAGAACAAAATGATATAATCAAATCGTTATTATAGCGTTAATATAATTACATATATAATTATTATATTCATATAATTATATTTTGTAAAACTTACCTCGAACTCGACCCTTGCCTTGGTTTACTGAATAAAGCAGCTGGCACATACACAGATGCTGCTAATAGTGCTAATGAAAAATTACACATTGCGACGCATATAAGAGTTGTAGCTAATTCCACAGATGCAATTACGCAAACCAATAAAGTATTTTCATATTTTACTTCTCTGAAACAGAACATATTTATTAGTGTAAAATTATTATTCATTAAATTCTAGAACTTATTTTACCTTCTTGCAGTCAAAGGCCATAGTAACGTTAAAATCGTAGCCACAGCATTACCAATATATATAGAATCTTCTGTACGCAAATAGTTCCCCATTTGTCTACCGATTGAAGTAAACATTTGTGGGGATAAAAGTAAACATACCCCAAATGTATGTGCCCATAATATTTCTGAAGCAATATTCCCAATATCGAATTTTTTTACCTACACACACAAAGTATATTTAATTAACAAATATATTCAGACTAAATAGTAATAATACATAATATTTCACAAACAATGTGAACCTTAGCATTTTTAACTTGTACGTTGTTTTTATCATCATTTTGTGGTACCGGAGCTTGAAGTTTTTGCCACATAGAAAATGCTTTTATGAAAAGACTAGCAACAATTAGTACTAAAGGACGCATATATAAACCTATAAAAATTTATATAGAATTTGTATAAACTTAGTGAGTTTATTAAGTGAGCTTATAAGATATTCTATTAACTTACTTATTGAAACATATCTATCTGTTGAAGGTAAAAGATAAAAAAAGTATGATTGGTGAAAACGTTCTAATAAATTATTTAGCGAGCGTACCATACTCTCTACCACGCGTCCAACTTGATAAAAACTTACTGAACCTTTACCGGTTTTTTCAAAACCTTCTAAAGTAACAGCTTCTATACCAAATCTATAAAACATTATATATATATTATATATATATATATATTATTCAAGAATGTCGTAACACTTTTACTAAATACTATACCTGTGAAACAATCCATGATTTCCAGTTGGTGTGCCAGTAGCTTGAGTAGCTACCATTGCCATTAATGTATTAAATTGATACCACCATTTTTTCAACGTATTTTTATCATTACTATCAAGTCTGCGTTGGAATGTTTTTTGGATTTCTTCTTTAGCAATCATATTTTGAGCAAGATTGAAAAGATCTAAGTTAGGTAGTTGTCCATTTAATCCCTCGACCTTTTTCAATATAATAGATATTAAAAATAAATATTGAATATAAAGAATGTTTGAAAAACTATACCTTAACATCTATAGATGAAATTCTCATTGCATGTAATTCTAAATTAACGGCAGCTTGAATAGAACCAGCATGGCCAGGTAAGTCACCAGATACTAAAATACCTTCTTGACCACTTGTAACACCGTGATATGCATCTAGCCATGCCTGCATGCCTAATTGTTCATATTCAGTTACCAGAAAAATAATATCTTTAGCCCAATACTTTTGTTCTAAAAGGAAAATCATAATATAATTTTTTTATAATATCGTTATTATTAATTATATATTGATTCATAAAGAATATACTTCTACAAAACTTTGCAAATGCCAATAGCAATGCAACAGAAGGTGCTGTACTTAAATAAACGCTATTAATAGGCCGGAAAGGTACACTGACAACAATTGCTTCAGTACTTGCTGCTTTTGGGGCTCTAACTATTCCATAAATATTTTGTCCTGTAAACTGAAAACTTTATCATTAATTTTTGATAGTGAATAATAACTTGAAATTGTATAGATATATTACATTATATGAATACTTTATTTCTTTACTTTTTGTTCTTTAAACGGATATATCAGCGAAAAATTATGGACGAAAGTGTCGAGATAAAGTTGATTAAATTTGGCTGACAACCATGCATAAGGCATACTATCTGGATATCTTTTCATTTCATTTATTAATTCATAATAAAATTGTTTTGACGTTTGATCTAAATTGCTCTCTTTTGTTACTAATCCAGGCAATAAAGCATTCTCAGAGAAATAAGTATCTGAAAAAAATAAACAATGTGAATTAACTAACATAATCATTGACAGATCATTCATTTATGATTTTAATTAAAAAATTATTTTTACGATCGTTAAATGTTGGTACTGCTAGAATCATTGTGCATATAATTCCACCGATATAAAGCAAAAAACACAGTTGTTTTTCCCGTTTCAAGAAAAATTTGATTAATTTTCCTGTGCCTGCTCTAGGATCAGTTAATAAACCCATTTTTTTATTTTATTTAGTAGTTTTATATTGTATAAATGAATAAAATCTATTTAATAATTGTAGAAACACATTTTGTTGTTCAAGTATATATCCAATATATTTTTTGGTTAAATTTTTATTATATTGTGCTTATATTAATAAGTCCAACAAATCTTTACAAGTTTAGTTTAGTTTCTACAGTACGGCGTGTATAATCAAACACATGTAACTAGATCTGCGCGGTTTATTCAATTTTCTGTCGTAGAATATTTTAGTGGGAACGCTTGAAACATGATTCAAGACGATGCAAAGTTCAATAGCAATATATTTGTTTATCAAGAAGTATAACAATGGGATTGCTCGGGAAATTTAATGCAAGTTAACTCAGTTCAAGATGTAAGAAAAGAAGCAGCAAGCAAATGCTGTTTCTCGTTTCCTTGATATTTAAATAGTATTATTGTTCCATTGCATATTCTAAAATGTCTTTCAGTCGGCGCCGTATTCATGTGTCCGATTTAAAATTTTGATGCTCTTAATTTGTAATAATATAACTTCAATAATAAATATTGCTATATATTTGGCTATAATATTTTAGCAATGAATTATATATATTTTGTGATCGAAGAGTTGGGTCGAGAAAAGGCCGAAAACAATAGAATACTGATTACGTCATTTTTCTGTCAGAGGATTTTGTTCGTTACGCGCATACGCGACAACTCTTTCAATGAACGAAGGCGGTAAGGTTAATTAACGTACTAAAATACATTATTTGGAGAATAAAGTACTAAGGAATTTATTAATTTTCTATACTTCTATATATAAATTTAAGACTATTTTTTTCTATTCTCTATTATTAAAATTTATTATAATTTTTGGATGAGAGTAAATTGTGTTTTTTGTTGTATCTTACAGAACACTGCGCATAACGGGTAAAGAAACTTTTTCTGTTTTATTTCATCGCGCTTACTCTACATTCTAAAGAAACTAGGAGTAAAGAAATAAAAAAAACAATTGAGATTAATAATTGAATTAAAATGATAAGATATTAAAAATATATTAATAATTATGTTGAGAAAAAAGAGAGAGAGAAAGAGAGAGAAAGAAATTGGAGGAAATTTTATTACCAACTAATATTCTACCAAAGAAATAAATTTTTTTGTTTAGGGGAATAAATGTTCTTGCAATTTGCTATAGTTACACGTGGAGCACTCCACGTAGATCTATGATATCGACATACTAATCATAAACTTTGCGTCGTATGGAAGACTTATCACTTTCTAAGATGCAAGATGCCAATTTGTGATGATTACTTAGCGTGACATGTAGTAACAGAGAATACTTTCAAAAATAAATTCTCAACGAGATGGAATACTTTAAAAGTAGTTTAAAATCTGTTCTGGGTGCTACACCGACTGGAAATCAGCCATCGGGAGCTGAAACGGTACATAACAGATATATATATTTATACCGGGTAACCTTATAATTGCTTCATCAGAGCAACAAGTTTTGTGTAGGAATTTTTTTTCAATAAATTCAATCATTACATTTCCAATAAATATGTAGTACATATTTGCTCTGGCAATATTTACACGTCATAAAAAAGTTGTTTCAGTTGTCACTAACATATGATTGATGTATAGGTGGAAAAGTTAGTGGACAGACTTCAATCATCTACATTACTCGATGACAGAAGAGATGCATGTCGTGCACTTAAAGCTTTATCTCGCACTTATCGTGTGGAAGTCGGTGCTCAAGGAATGGATACCTTAAGGCAAGTTTTAGAAATGGATAGAACTGATTGTGAAATCATCGGTTTAGCATTGGATACTCTTTGTAACATAACAAATCCTGAAACATTTAGCGAGGAAGGTAAGACAAGATATGATCTTATTGCGATCATTTATTATGGTATCATAAACTGTATATTTGTCTTTTTAGTCAATAAACATGGACCAAAAAATAAAATAGGTGAACAATTCACTGAAATATTTATTAAACAGCCGGACAGTGTCAGTTTGGTTCTTACATTTTTAGAAGAATTCGACTTTAGAGTTAGATGGCCAGCATTAAAATTACTTACGCATTTATTAGCTAATCGACCTAAAGAAATTCAAGAAATCATTTTGGTTAGTCCAATGGGAGTTTCTAAGCTAATGGATCTTCTTTGTGAT